TGGCAAATTCACAAAGGTATGGGATTACCCTTAAAGAGTTATTGAGTGCCTGCTCTGGACTGGGTAGGGAAAGGTGCAGAGAGAAAATCAGAGGTGGTGCTGCCCTCAAGGTGTCAATATGGCTAAGATGGATGGTGCAATTAAAGAGCAATAAGGCTCATTACTCCTACAGAATATTTAGATCACTAATAGATACTTCTCTAGCAAAAATTCACTTGAGGGCAGGAACTGTGACTTGCTCCGTCCATACCTGCTGTAGAGCACACTTCATGTAGTAAGTTGGGAATAAATATTCATTAAATTTAATGTAATGTACAAAATCAGAACTGTTTATCCCTCACAAACCTGTTCACCTAGGTTTTCTGATGTTGGCCCCATCATCTGTGCAGTCACCGACATCCAAATTCTGAGGGTATATTGGATGCTAGTTCTCTTTTGCCCCCCTCCATCCAATCAGTACTCAATTCTTCTGAATCCTTCCTTCCAATTTCTCCTAAACCATTTTCCCTTCCACTTACTCCACACCAGTTTGAGTCATTATTACCTCTCTAAGTAATGCAAACTTCTCGCTGTTGTTCCGACCTCTGGGTGTTCTCTGGTATGTGCACAAAAGGCATTACCATGCTGCCAAGCCCAGTGATGTCCAGGCTGAACTGCCTATTTCCTGGTCTCACCTCCTCAGGGTCCTCTGCTCCATTTGGGCAAACGGGACATTCCCGGATCCCCTGATGTCCTCCCCAATCCCCTCTCTCTGTGCTCAGAGTTCTAACCCTTCTTTGAGAAATTCTTCCCTGTCTGTCTCCAATTTTCAAAATCCTACAGTTTGTATTGTTTAGGGGGTATGGATGGCAGGAAGAGGAGTGCCTCTGACTATCTAAAGCAGAACAGGAGTTTATCAGAAGGATGTCAAGTAGCTCACAGCTGGGCTGGAGTAGCTGGGAGAAGGGGGAGAATCAAGCATGGTAATGACCTTGGCAGGGAAGTTGTGGGGCCCTTCCAGCTAAAGCAAGCTGAATCTTATCCTCCCTCCCCTTTGCCACCCCAGCCAGTTTCAAAGTCCTGAGTGGAGGGTTCTATGGGCCAAACCCAGGCCATTCACTTTCACAGGGCTCCTGGGAGTGGCGAGATGGAGGAGACCAAGCTGCCTTCTGCCACGGTAAGACAGGGGCCTCCCTAAATCTAGGAAGGGGCCTGGAAGTAGGGCAGCACAACTGTGGTAGCTTCCCACTGTGTCATCTCCCAAGGACCATTTCTAATGCCATCACCTTTCATAAACTCTAAATCATCTTCTGACTCTCAGATGCATTTTGCCTGATACTTTTCATATCTAGCTACATATGATATTTATGTACTGGTCTCATCCTTCTGAGATTAGATTTCTCCTGAATTAACTCCTACCATGACTTACAAACAGAAATACAGTAGATAGGTTTAACTGAATTAAAGGTTAAGATAGAAGGTCAGGGAAAAGCAGATGGGTTTACCACACACCAAATATACAACTGAGACCTGTTCACATGATCTCATTTAATCCTCACTGACTTTCCACTCTCCTTCCTTTGTGACCTCTCCTGGAGGCCCAGAAAGGCTAACTGATACCAGCTCCCAGGCTTGCAGGCAGGCTGTGGGCCTCTGATGTCTGACATAGCCCCCTTATTTCTTGATTTTTATGTTTTCCCTGAGTCTGAGGAAGGAGTTAGAGGAGGGCTTGGTTGGAACTCTGAAAGACAAGGACAAGAAATTCTTTGCTGTGTCAGCGCTGTCAGAGGGAGAAACAGCATGACGAGGTGGGCACCGCGGGGAGGAAGAGACCAAGGCAAGTAGCTTGTGTTGAGGCAAAGTAAACAGTGAGATTGCCATGGCTGGGCTAAGTCCGAGGGACCTCTGGAAGATAATCTTAGGATTTAATGCTGATGTGATTTGGGGGGAAAGGTTTATACTCTCTGCACTTTCAATACTTCATTCTTGAAGACATTTTAATTTTAGTAAGAGAAACATGCCTGTATTAATGGAGGGCAAAAACATGCACATTTTTAAATAAAACATCAGCTTCAAAGAAATGTCTCCCCCATGTTGGGTTTTATAGTGGGTTGAATGGTGGCCCCCAAATGTATGTTCACCTGGAAACTGGGAATATGATGTTATTTGGAAAAAGGGTCTTTGTAGATGTTATAAAGCAAGGATCTCACAGATGGAATCCTGGATTAGGGTGGGCTCTAAATCCAATGACAAGTGTCCTTATGAGAAGAGAGAAGGGGAAAGGGCACACAGGGAACAGGCCTCGTGAGGACAGCCCAGATGTTGGGGTGATGTTCCCATCAGTGACACCTGGAGCCGCCTGAAACTGGAAGAGGCAAGGAAGGGTTCTCCCCTTGATCCCCTGAGAGACATGGTCCCCGCTCACAGCTTGATTTCAGACTCTGGCTTCCAGAACTCTGAGAGACCAAACTTCTGTTGTAAGCCACGAATTTGCTAAGGCAGCCCCTGGAAAATAATGCAGGCCTCTTAGAGCTCAATCTCCAAGCCTTCCTAGGATGAAATGCTCAAGGCTTCTTCTGTCTGAGGACTTTGGAGGAACAGTGGTGGGCAATGGGGAGCCATGGGAAGTTCCTGAACAGAGAAGCAGTGAGATAGAAGCAATTTTTAGGCAGGTTGGGTTGACATTGACATCCAGTATAAATTTAGGGGATGCAAGGAGTAACAGGAGACCAGCTGGAAGGCAATGGGTGAAGTGGAAGGAACAGGAGTTTTGGTCTTGAGAATATGTGTTATGACCCCAGCCCCTTTACTTACTATTTCGGTTTTTTCATGTGTGACATGAGGATAATATTATTTGTGTGAGTTACAGGTGATATGTGTAAAGAATTCAAAAAAGATACACAAGTTATTATTAGTAATAATGTAAAAATGTCTAGTTACCCTCCTTGGCATTGGACATGACAAAGAAGGTACAAAGAGATGTTTTAGAGTCATCTGGACTCAGAATCATGGCAATTTAGATTGAGAGGGATCTCATGGTCACTTAGCATCCTGTCCTTACTGTCCTTGGGGAGAGCCTGGAGAGAGAAGGAAGGAGTCTAATTGCAATGAGGTTTCCCCCCGGAAGCTGAGGTGCCTGGTGGATTCTTTGCCAAGCCTCGGACTGTGGGTAGAAGAGCTAGTTTGAGAGGCAAGGAAGTTGCATTCTGAACCTGGTGATGATGAAAACATGATGAGCTGCCCAGAGGGGCTGCAGATAAGCTGGGAGGTCTCTAAGGTTACAGGTCCAGGATTGTACAGAAATACAAAAAAGGATAAACTCTCTTTAAAGAAAAAAAAGTTGCATATCAGAATAAAAACAAAGGGCTAAAGTAGAAAAATAGCTGTGTTTGGTAAATGGAAAGATGATGGAATTTCAGGAAATAGCAGAAATGCCATGTACTTCAGAAACCTGTGTAGGCTAGAGCTTGGAAAGGGACATTGGGTTTTAAATATAAATGTCCTCGGTGACTTTACCAAGAATCAGAGATACAAGAAGATTTCAAGAATCATAATTCAGTGAAAGTTGACAAGTTAAAAACTGCGTCAAGTTGTTATGCCTATTTTGAGTAAACTAAAATTGGACCAGACCATTTACTACAGTTCTTTCCTGATTAGTAAGACAAGGTTCTCACAAAAGGATGAACAGAGGGAGCATCTTTCTTAAGGTGTGAGAAGGAGGCTGTCCCCATTGATAGATCTTGGATCCATTCTGGTTCATCACTGCACCTCCTTCCAGCCAGTGACCTACTGTGTGTTCCCTACTGCAGGGAAGTGAGCCAGGGATTTACAGGAGCTAGGTGAATATTATCTCCCCATCTGATAGATTTTAGATAGGTTAAGAAACATCCAGGCAAGGTTCCACAGTTGAAGAAGCAGATAGTCAAACGTTCAACTGTGATTGCAAAGTTATAGTGGCTTGGGTACCTCCTATTGGGAAGGAGGCAGGGGATAAGCCTTGTCACCTTGGGTAAATTATTATTGCCTTAATAATGATGAGCAACCAAGAGCCATAAGAAAGAATCTCATTAACATGGATCTAGGCTATTCCGCCAGGAAATCAGGATCATCTGAATTGCAGGATGTCCTTTTGGGAAGCCGTATGGGAAGGAGAGTGGAGAACAGACATCTGGATGCCTGCGTCTGTGACTTTCCCCTTCCTCTTGGGTTTTAATCTTCCAAGTTTGTTTACAGGTAAACCACTACGCGTGGCCACGTGACAGGAGCAGTCTCACTGCTAGTGACAACTCCTTCTGGAGCCCAGACCCCAGCAGCTTTACAGGACTCTACTGGGCTGGGTGCGCTGGAGTTGGACGTGACGCTGCGCTGGAGTTGGACGTGACGCAGGAGAGGCCGCAGAGGCTGGGGCTCCTCTCCTCCTCTTAGGAAGTGCTTCCGACGGGAATGATGGAGTCAAAAAGTGTCTGGTTGGGAAAGTAAACAGATACAAGGCAAATAAATAAAAATGCCCCACAAGCAATTACAGAGGGGAAGTGACATTTTTATGTAAGTCACTTTGCTGACGGACACCAGGCCTGCTTTGCCGAGAGTGCCGTGGGAATGCTTCCGGGAGGGGGGCGGTCGCCAAACAACTAGAGCGCGCTGATAAGAAAATCAAACAAAAAGAGGATGGAGAGACCACCCGCCGGTCTCGGAGGCTGGGACTTGCTGCTCCGATTTCCTCTCCTGTCCCCTCGCCCCCACCCCTCTGGCTCTAGCTCCCGGCGGCCGGCAGGCGCGCCCCCAGCGGCGCGTAACGGAGCCGCCCCCGCGCCGGCTGCCGAGCGGGCCCCAGGTGATTCGCGGCCGAAGGGCGCGGGCCTAGGCCGGCCCCTGGGCGGTACCACGGCGCGGCCGGGGCGGAGCGGCGGCCGAGGGGCGGAGCGCGGGGGGGCGGAGCGCGGGGGAGGGTCGCCGCCGCCGCCGCCGCCGCCGCCGCCGCCGCCGCGGGGAGTGTCGGGCCGGGGCGCGCGGCCGAGCGGGCGGCGGGTGGCGGGCGGCTCGGGGCGGGGAGCTCGCGGCGCCCGGGCCGGCGAGGTCCGCCCGGGCCGGCAGCGTCCACCGCGCGGAGGGAGGAGGGAGCGGCGCAGACAAAGAGCGGCGTCTGGGCCGGCAGCGCGGCCGCCGCCCCGGGACCGCGTCGCTGCCCTCCGGCCTCGGCGGGCGGCCCACGCGAGGTAAGTGCAACCGGGCCCGGGGCGGGGGACGCAAACTTGGGTGGCTCGGCGGAGTTGACGTGCGGCGGGGCTCGCAGGGCAGGCGCCGGGGCAGGGATTGGGGGCTGGATCCCTGCCGCGCCCCCGGCGCCCCGGCCCGGCTGCGGCCTGGCCCTTCGCGGCCGCGGACCGCTGGCCCCTCCGGATCCCGCACCTTCCCGCGGGCCAGTCCGCCCTCCCGGTCGTCCCCTTCTCCAGGGGCGGGGCGAGGGCGCCGCCAAGGGCGCGGGCGGGGGTGGGGGCCTGGGTGGGGGTTCGCGGGACGGGAGACCCCGGGCGCGCGGCGGGCGCGGAGCCGTGGCCGGCGTGGACGGTGCGTGGCCGGGGGCGCCGCGGCAAGAGTCTCCGGGAAGAACGGCGCCGGATCGCCCGGCGTCGGCGCAGGGTTGCGGGTGGCCGAGCTCTGCCCGGAGAACTTACTGTGCTTATCGAACTGTTCATGATCCCGCACAAGGCTGCCCGTCACATCGCATAAAGGAGGTCCTGGCCTCGGCGGAGGGCGCTTTGTGACGGGTTTCAGGCGCTGTGTCCTGCCCCAGATTTTCATGACTCCTTACAGCCACCTGGAAGAAAGTTTCTTACAATCGCTCTGCCCTCCTGGTTTATTCAGGGCGATTTAACCACCCAGTGCCTCTGGAAGAATTCGGTGTGTGACTTTTAAGGCATTGACGGTAACTCCCGGTGAATGCAGTTAGCGTGCCATTGTGTGGAGGGGTTTAGTTTGCAGAACGCTTTAATTTGTGACATGAACCATCGCCTCGGGAAGGTCTGCGCGGGATGCTCGGGGTCATCGGCTGATGAATCTTTGACACCTAACTTTAAGTAGCATTTTAACAGCTTCAGGGACAAAGGAAGAGCATTCGTGGAGGTGGCCTCTGTCTCTTAAGACCATTCAGCTGGCAGTTACCCCTTTATTTGCCTTTGTTTATTTTGCCAACAGGTTTAAGGCTGAATCTGCAGAGTTCGCGTCTGCATAATGGATGAGCAGGCCCCAGTGCTGGATCGCCCTGGCCCACTCTTTCCCTTGACCCAAAAAGTGACAGCAGAGGCTAGTGGGCGTGACTTGCCTGGGACCCGCAGGTAGGGGAGTCCCTTCCTCGTCCAGGCCCTGCCCAGCTTCTTCCCATCCTCTCCCCGAAAGGATTTTGGTAGGAATGAGAGTAGCTCGGGTGTGTTTCATACCTTTGCATATTCTTAGCAACAGTGCTTTTCAAGTCTTAGAATGACCACAGAAGAAGCTGGACTGTTGTAACTTATCAAAACAGATCTAAACTTTGCCTCTAAATACAGCCTTAATTCACTTTCCCAGTGTTCCTAGATAAATAGGTAAATTAACGACAGAATTCAAGCCTGTGTGGTATTTGCATAAAGAGAATGGCAGTCTTTGGACGTGTGGGAAGAAATGGGCTTAAACCGCGAGATAGGGCTATAGGTGTAGGATTTTAGGTGTTTGGAACGGGGGTTTTCGGAGAAGCCAGTGTTTAACGGTGTTGGTGAAGTAGTGACCACGGAAAATTCCTGCTTTGTTATATTTCTCCGTGAGGTTGTTTAGATGTAGTTTTGATTAAGAAAGTGTCTGGATCTTAGCAGTCTTCTGGCTGCAGCTATTTGAGGCTGATACTGAGAACTTTAAGCATTGGTAAGCTTGTGGAGGGTCTTGACTCAGCTTTCTCTCCTGCAGACTTCACCTACGCTCAGAGTCTTAGCTGCTACATAAACAGTCAACAGGATTGATCATGGAACACTGGATGAAATGAGGTGGCAAATTGCCATCTGGAGGATTGATTGCTCCATCACCCCCTCCCTCTATCCACTTGGAGAGAAACCGGCCCTTTAAAAATGGGCGGGGCTTGTTCGTTTCAAGTTGCCGTGCTCAGTTTTGAGGCTTTTGAGTTTTGCTTTATTACATAGTATATTAAATACTTCTCTGCATACTTAATTATACTTAAATTATTAATTATACCTAAGTATAATTCTCTTATACTTAAATTCTTTTCATCCTTGTTGCCATACTACCAAATTCTGTCATTTGCATGGGGGTATTATTGAGCTTTTCCAACAAACAGATCTTACGTACACAGTCTTTGAGAAGTGCACCGTCATCCATGTTAAATACAACGGAAATCTTCCTTGTGTGCGCACAAACTGATAACCTTTTAAAATACCACTAAAGGCTTGCTGATTGCCCTGAATGACCTGGAGTCCTTGATCGCTTGCTTTAGCTTAATTTACCCCTCTTAGTTGAGTCTGTGTTGCAGTCTGGGACTCCCATGCTTCTTCCAGCTGCCCAGACTGACTCGCAGTGTGCGCTGGGGCAGAGAAGGCTCATGGACGTCGTTCTCTGGTGTTAAAAATGAGGCTTAGTAGAGAAGATTGCTTGTAGAAACTGCAAGGGAGGGCCGTAAATGATGTTTGGGAAAGCCTGTGAGCCAAATTTTCTCACAGATGAACTGGAAACGCCTCACAACTCACCTCCAGAGGCTTAGGAAATTAGTTTTCCCGTCCAGAGAGATTGCAAGTGGTGCTTCCAAATTGCTTCTCTTTACTAAAATGAGTGATGGAAACCCTTCCTGGCTTGTTTTCAAAGGGCCTAAGCTAAAATGATATCATGTAGGTAGTTAAATGCTTCAGTTAAGGCAACTTCGAAGAAGGTCAAGACAGCCTTTAAAGCGGAAGTTAAAAGTTTATTTCTGTAAGCCATTTTGTGAACTTAAGAAATTAGGCTATTTTTCTTATGCATTTCAGTTTGAATGGCTCTTAAAGTATGTATATTTCTGAAGGTGTAATCAACATCAACAAGTTATTAACACTGTCCCCCGCCCCCACTGTCTCCCCTGTGGTTTCTTTGTGTTCGTACCTTATGCACAGGGATGCCCGACAAACACTGATTGAACACGGGAATATTGAGTTCGGAGCCTGTTGAGTTATTAGGGCTCTGGGTTCCCAATGAGATGTGAGTAATCAGAGATCTCTAGAATCGTATAGTACCTGAGCTCAGAACTTCTGTGACGTTGTAGAAGGTTTTGTCCACAGGATGTACAGACAATGGGAGGATTTGGTTTGGTGTATTCTCTGGTAAATTCTCTGTCTAATGAGTCATTTATAGGCCTGAAGCTAAATTTTTTTTTATCAAGGTATCATCGATAAACACTCTTATGAAGGTTTCACATGAAAAACAATGTGGTTACTACGTTCACCCATGTTATTGAGTCTCCCCATACCCCATTGCAGTCACTGTCCATCAGTGTAGTAAGATGCCACAGAGTCACTACTTGTCTTATCTGTGCTACACTGCCTTCCCCATGATCCTCCCCACACCATGTGTGTCAATCATAGTACCCCTCAATCCCCTTGTCCCTCCCTTCCCACCTGCCCTCTCCCACCCCTCCCCTTTGGTAACCACTAGTCCCTTCTTGGAGTCTGAGAGTCTGCTGCTCTTTTGTTCCTTCATAAACTTTTTATTTTTTAAAGGGCAAAACAAAAAACAAACTTACCTGCATAACTACTTGATGGGTTCACTACGTATTTTACTTTTCAGTGGATTGTCTGTGTCAACCTGAACTGGAAACTCTGGGCAAAGCACTTATTATTCTTGCCTGGGAAGGGATTTATTTAGTGCCACCTTGCTTCTTTCTACCACTTGTATTTTTAATGTTTTTAAGAAAAGAAGCCTCAAGCGTGCTCAGAATTTAAATACTGCGCTTGCCTCTTATGAGACAGTTTTGGAAATTGGGATGGTTCTTCTGGTTAGTGGTTAATGAAGACCTCAAAAGCTATAGCCAGATAAGAATAGATAGTAATGCTTGTATGGTATGTATCGTTTACAAGTTGCTCTTCCCATATGCTGTTGTATTTAATATTTGAAAGTACATAGTAAAATGGGATCTGGCCTTTATTTTGGTCTGAGGAAATTGGAGCTCGGGGACAATGCCTGGGCTGACAAAGCCTGAACTTGGGTGTAAGTCCTTCCCTTCAGAGTCCTGCACCCCTGCTGAGCAGGTAGTAGATAACGAACACAGTTCTGGAGCCTGGAAAGGCTAAGGTTGAGGTGTTGGCAGTTGTTGGAGGCTGTGATCCGCCAGCATGTGCTGATGGGGCTAAGTGTTGGAGGCCTTGCATGGAGACCTTTGCTGTGCTGGCGATCTGAGCAGATGCAGGTGAGAGTGTATTCTTTATGCAAGTTGACCGAAGATGATCCAGTTCAGGGTAGAGACAGGAGCAGTTTCAGCAAACTTTACTGTTGTGCGTCAGCATGCTTTACTCTGGAAGGTCTCAGCAAGTTGAAGAGTGCCTATTCCTGTGTGGGGCATGTATCTGTCAGCTCCGGCTGCCATCACAGAATACCATAAGTCTGGTGTGAAACAAGCTTATTTCTCACAGTTCTGGAGGCTGGGAAGTCCAAGGTCAGGGTGCTTGTAGATTTGGCTCTTGGTGAGGCTCTTCCTGGCATGTATACAGCTACCTTCTTGCATCCCCCCCATCGCCCTTCTCTGCACGTGAAGAGTCTCTCGTGTCTCTTCCTCTTATAACGACACCAGTCCTGTTGGATTAGGACCACATCCATATGACCTCATTTAACCCTAATTACCTCTTCAGAGGCTCTGTCTCCAGATACATTCACACTGTGGGGAAGGCTTCAACATCTGAATGACTGGAAGGACAGTCAGTTCATAAAAGTGTGTAACTGTTCAAAACCAAGACTGATTACTTTAGGAAGTTCTGTTGCTTCCTTCACCCAGCTCTGGAATGTGTTCATTTGAGGACACCCACCGGCCGAGGGTGGTAAGAGCAGTGAGAAGTGAGGAGGGAGTGGTAGCTCCCTGTGAGCCAAAGCACCTCGGACAAGGGAAGCCACCTTGGTGCTGGGCTCCCAGGTGCTGGCCCTGTGTGGGTGACATGCTCACACAGTGGTGAGGAACACTGGCTCCATTTACGGATCCCCCAGTGGGTGCAGGTTCTAC